GAATAAAGAAACGAAATAAATAAAGTAAATCAATATTTTGAACACGAAGTGCTTTATTTAATAGACGATGAAGAAACGAATGACGTGTATACCACCATAATGATCGTTCAGGTGTGTAACTGCGTTCGAATTCTTTTAGGATTTTCAATTCGAATTTGTTGTCTTTATATAATTGACTACATAGCTGAATTAGTTCATCGCGATCCTTCGGTGTTGATGTCATTCGAATTAAACAATCAACTAATAATTGAAAATGAAGGAATTGTCCATTTAAATCAGTTGTCGACTGTTCCTCGATACTTTGACTTGAATTAAATATGTTAATCAATAATGAATCATCAATCTTTGAATGGTGTCGTTGAATTTGATCGTTTTTCAATTGATTGATCAATTCACTTAGTTTTGTAAAAACGCCTTTGACCTACAATAAGAAAAAAGAGCGACTTTGCTTTTTAACCAATAAAATGCTCCCACCTTCGAGTATAGTTTGGCCCATTGTTGATGTGTTTGCAAGTCGTAACAATAAACGTAAATGGAGATAATTTGTCTTAAATGAACAATCTTCGGAACGATTAATTTTCCTAATTTTCCATTCACAATTAAAACAATTCGATCGTGATCATTTAACGAAAGAATATATCTCATGCAGAGATGAACATCTTCGAATGTTTTCAAATGATTGATTGTCTGACGAAGCTTCTTTTGTGCTTGAAGATTTTGATTAGAATCATTGACAGCTGCGTCGAGCCAAAGTAGAGAATAAGTTTCGAAATTTTCATCTGCTTCAGTTGTCATTGACAATTTCGTGTCCATCTTACTGTGAATGTTTCATATGAATCTTCTTCACTGTTTGATATTGTGCAAATGAATGTTTATCGAAAAGGAAAAACACCAAATGACGCTTTTCCTTAATTGCAGGAACACAACGTGTAACTTGACATATTAATTATCACTAGAAATTATCAAAAACGTGAAGAAATGCTAATCTAATTTATGTGTTTTTTACGTTTTCGGTTCCACAGTGAAATGTTGTTTTTCACATATATTATTTTCCTGTAAATCACACCTTTTAGGTTATATAGATGATTTTCTGCATGGAAAACTTTGACAGGTTACTGTACCGATCTCTCACGTATGTATCGAAACGAACATTGCAGTGCGTAAACAGTTCATTTACATAACGTAATTGCGTCACGTTGTTAATTATTTGAAAACAACACTTTTCATCTTTCGGACGCGTAAAGTTTTTAAATCATATTCTCGAATGGACATTGAGTGAATGATATTTTCAACTGATTAAAGCTTCGTTATGTACGTATGCAAAGAATACATTTTTCATCTGAACTTTCAAAGTCAGAAGTACTGATGCGCAAAGGTCTTTTGTCTGCTTATCCTAATTAACTTTCGTTTCCTGAATGTTGAGTAATCGAACTGAACCGATCACACGTCGATCTGTTTGTTGCAAAATTCTTAACTAGAAATTTACAAAAATATAGAGTAAAAACGCAAGTGAACACGCCCTGCTTATGTGTGAGAATGATAGAAAGGAAAAATTCTTTTTTTCATTATTCGCTTTCGATGGAAAATATAAAAGCGACGACGACATTAAAATTGTTTATTTAAGCACGACAAAGTAATCCACATATTTTTCTTCGTTCGCGACTCGCTTGAAATGTTTACTTTCATTTCTCTGCAATGCTAATGAACGAAGTTGCCGAACGATTTCTCCATCTTGATTTCGAATCCAACGAAATTCTCACAATTCTCCATGAGTACAAAACCTATCCTCTCGTTCCCATCAAAGAAGCTATTGAACCAATCAAAGCACTACTTTACAATTCCGATTCAATGATAAAATTAGCAAAAAAGAATTGCCGTAAACCTCCGGATGGATTAACTCAAGATGAATCGTGTGCTATTTATCTGTACACAATGCCGCGACCATCTCCGCATCTAAGTCTATTCCAACTACTTCACGAAAGTTTCTATTCGAAAAAACGCGATGCTTTAACACCTTGGTTTCTCTATTTGAGATTGTTCTTCACAGCGTTGTATAAACTTCCATCATACAAAGGTTTAGTTTATCACGGAACTGGAAAAAATCAAATTGATCAATATGAAAGAGAACGTTCTTGGTGGCAGATCAGTTCATGCACGGAGAAAATGAATTTAATCGATTCTCTCATGGAAAACAATGGTGAACGGACGATATTTAGTATTGAGTGTTCGAATGGCAAATCCATTCGTTATCATTCACATTTTCCAGGTGAAAATGAAATTCTTCTTCTCCCGGGAATCTCATTTCAAATAGTTGGTAAATGGAAAGCAGGAAAAGATTTATTCGTTATTCAATTGAAGGAACAAATATCAACCGTGAATATCTTAACTCCACTGCCAGCAAAAGCAAAACCTTTGGAAACAAAATGGAAACAATTCGGCGTGACAATTCTTGAAGAAAACCAATTAAATTCACCACAGGGAATTTTCATTGATAAAAACAAGACTATTTTCATTGTTGATTGTAATAATCACCGAATTGTACGACATGGGAAAGAAGGACGTGTTATAGATCAATTAAACCATCCAATCAATGTTATTAGTGATCAAGAAGATCAGTCGTTAATCATTACTGATTTAGGAAATCGACGAGTGATTCGATGGCAGAATGAAGATCAACGAGAAATTCTGATTGACAATATCGTATGTTATGGATTAACTATGGATAAGTTTGGATTTATTTATGTAACTGATCAAGAAAAGAATGAAGTGAGACGATGGAAGCAAAGTGATCAGCAAGGTTTTGTTGTTGCAGGTGGTAATGGAAAGGGAAACCAACTCAATCAACTTTCGTGTCCAACGTATATTTTCGTTGATGATCAACAATCAATTTATGTTTCAGATAATTCAAATCATCGTGTGATGAAATGGCGAAAAGGTGCGAAAGAAGGAATTATTGTTGCTGGAGGACATGGTCAAGGAAAGAAATTAAATCAACTATCTTATCCTGCAGGAGTTCTCGTTGATCAGCGAGGTCAAATTTACGTCGCTGATAGTTGGAATAATCGGGTCATGCGTTGGTGTGAAGAAAAGAAAGAAGGGGAAATTATTGTTGGCGGAAACGGTGAAGGAAATCAGTCGAATCAACTGAATGGTCCGACTGGTTTAGCATTCGACTGCGAGGAAAATCTTTATGTGGCCGATTGTATCAATAGCCGAATCCAAAAATATGAAATTTCACTGAAATAAAACATTTTACCTCTATCTTCTCTTAGATAACAACATTTACTTCTTTTTTTATTTGTTACCTGACTTTGTTGAAACACGTGATAGGTAGATAAATAAATAGAAAGGTATAGGAGATATATCTTTACGATAAAACATCCGAGACAAAATGTTTCTTGCATAGTACTGAGTTTCTTCCTTCCTGAGGAGTGTTTAACAGGTCAAACTATGTCTAGAGCGAAAGTGAGATTATGGCTTGAAATTCACATCTATCTCCTGGTAAATAAATTTTTGTCGAAACCCACCATCTCATTGATCTTTCGGTTTAGATACTCATCACTACGCATAGCGAGCTGACCTCATCCACTACACACGTAACAAATGCTTTTACTAGTAATTTACATATGTCTTTTGAAGAGTCTGTGCTAACATTGTTACTTGTAGGTGAATCATGTACTACTGATTCATCGAAGGGGATCGATGTGATTACACGAACTTCATCAATGTTCGAAGCACTGATCACTTACAATTGTTCATCGATTAATTCTTCTCAATTATTTGTTTGGAGTAACGGAACCGAAGTCGATGGTTGTCACGTCACCGATCATTCTAATGAAACAGTTTTTCTTTCGTGTACAAATATTTCAAATCACGCAGGTCGTAATTGGTCTTTTTCTATCGTTTCGACAACGCCTTCGGTACTTAACGAAACATTTGTTATTACATTAACACCATTATTTCTTCAAAATTCAACCAATATTTCCATAACTATCGATTCAAGTCTGACGTCTGCGTTGATTTCTATTCCCAACTGCGAAGAGATAGCCGATCTACAATATCTTCGTTTTCAATGTGATAAGAACAATTCGACTTCATCATTGAATCCTCTTTCAGCTGATTGTGAAATAACATGTTCAAATTTAATCCCCGGATCGATTTATGAAGGATCATTAATTCGATTGTCTATGCCCATTGCAGATAGAAGTGGTGAAGTGTTCGAAGAAGATTATCTCAATCAAACTTATATCGTTGGTAAGAATCTTTTAGGAATTCAAAATTTATTTTGATTACTTTTGTTTAGACCTCGACCAAGTGAAAAATTTGACGGTTGAACTCCAGGGTAACAGTGCGAATATTTCCTTCATTCGTCCTCATGGAAATTTTGATGGAATTAATTTGAATTGCACTGCTGCAGATCAAAGTTGCTCGGACATGCCGACTAATTTAACAGCTAGTTGCTCGAATTGTACATCAATGTTGATCTCTCCAATTGAATTCGGAGTTAGATATGAATGTGAAGCTGTAACAATTAAAGAAGGCTTTGTCGATATCTATTCCCATGAATTGACTTTTTCTACACCTATTAAAAAAGTAGATTTTAATCAATCTACCTCGAGCGTCATTGAGCGTAATCGATTTAAATACAAAGTTCTTCCTCAAAGTGATTTCGATTACTTCAGTACAATTTGTATACTCGATGCAAAATCGGGCTCTCCTTGTAAAGATATTCGGGTTAACCATAGTCAATGTTCAACTGTTCTCATTCATGAAGCAATTCTTGGTTGCGATTATCACTGTACGATAATAACAAGAAAATCGAACTACCCAGAGCAAGACTCGAATAGTTATTTTCAACAGATTTGTAAGACAAATTTTTATAGTCCAGTTCTCAAGAGAAATTATATGGTTTTTAGTTCCAATCGATGCTCCAAATATTTATAATTATACGGCGACGTCACGAGCAATTACTATTAGATGGGAACTTACTGATAATCATATTTTCTATTCCAAGTTTGAGGTTTTCCTAAATCAATCTAAGTTAGCAGACAAAGATCGAGGAGTAGATTTTCATGAAACGAAACGTCTGTTGCCAAATGTCGAGTAAATGCAAGAAAACTTTCCGAGTTTGATCTTCTTATTTTAATATAATTTTCAGCTATAAATTTCGAGTCGCACTTGTTTCCAATCGTGTGCTCAATTCTTCGTCAGTCATAGTCAGAACGAATGAAGAAAGTATGAAAATCTCTTCTAAAATCCTAAAATTACTATTTATTTCGTTTGTAGTTCCGAAAGAACCAACTGAAGGTGATATTCAACGTAAAATTGTCTTTGACGCAGATCATCCACACTCGACAGCAACGCAATCAGTTATCAAATTTGATCCAACCCTATTTTCGGATGACTATGGTTACGTCAACAGCTATTCATTCTATGTTCGACAAGGTACTAAACGATATACGTAAGATTTCGCAGAATGAAATTCGACTAATTTCCAGTAAATCGTCAGATAGGAAACTTGGAGTGAAATATTCAATGAGTCATTAGATTGCAGCATTATCTTTAATCGAGCCATGTTTTGAAATAGTTTTAATTTCTGCTTTTTAGACCAAAATAAACAAGGAATTCTTCCAGATATAAATGGAAGTTACCAAACAGCTTGGATAAATTCCTCTATTGATTATTTGGCGATTTTTCAATTGAGAAAATCTGAACGTACATATCGCAGTGATACGATGCAATTGATCATTGGCAATCAAAGCCATTGTCCAAATGAATCAATAGCAAGAGTTCCTTGTAATGGAAAATTAAAACCAAATAGCAATTATTCGTAAGTTTTCGTCTTCTACTTTCATCGAGTGCCGATTCATGTAGAATTACAGATTGATCATTAGTGCGTGTAATATGGCTGGCTGTAGGTTTATACGTTGGAAAATGTTTCGTACGAAGGCTGAAAGTCCAGCGAAAGGGTCGAATACGTGGATTTATATAGCCGTAGGAGCAGGAGGGGTGGCATTTGTACTTATTGTTTTCATTTTTATACGGCGAATAAAAAGACAGCGAAATACAACTGACACGTAAACTTGAAATGTATTTCTGAGATATAAATGAAAACTTATTTCGTACTTTAGAGACATTCCTCTCTCTCGTGTTGAATCTGCTCGTACTCCAAAGAAGTAATCACGATGCTCAGTGTAACCGGAATGTATTCGATTGTTGATTTAGACCAAAGCCACTTTATAAATATGTTAATATGTCACAACGGGATGAGCGAGCAATTTACAATGAATATCAAGTCAATTGAATCTTTTCATCTGAAATACAATCGTTCTTTGTTCATTTCCATAGGAGTTAGAACGGTGTCATTCGTCTTGCACACGACCGAATGAAGACGCGAAATACGCCGATTACGATCGATATCAAAACATCTTCGCTCGTGGACCATGTACCTTTATTAATGCTCTCCATTCGTTTCTTTGATCGGATTTCTTGTTTTCTAGGGTGTCAAACAGCTGTCCACTTGACAGGCGCCGCGCATCGCTTCAACGATTATATCAATGCAAATCACATAAAAGTATAAAATACTCGAAGAGATATTTTGCATTCTTAGCTGCTTTCTCTAGGGTTATGATAATAAAAAATGGTATATTGCTTGTCAAGGTCCACTTAAAGATACCTGTGAAGACTTCTGGGATATGATTTATCAATTTCGTGTGCGAAAGATAATTATGCTAACACATTGTGATCAACGAACTCAATGTCAATCTAAAGTAAACTCATAGGATTGAACAGATTTCAGGGAATACTTTTTTACTGTTCTAGTCGAAATGTTTTCCGTATTTCCCCGCTAGGAAAAACGAAAGATTATCATTTGACCGTTGGACTGTCACAACGCAAAAAGTTCTATACCAACGTGAACTGGATTTACGAATTCGTTATATACATTTGAAAGGAATCAATAGAAATCATGGTGAACATCGTGTAATTCATTATGGTTTCACCGGTTGGAAAGATTTCAATGCAATCGAACCAAGTACCTTACTGGAATTAATTGATACAATTAACAATCATGATCCTGAAGAAGAAAGAGAGAACGAACCTCCTGAAGTTGTTCATTGCAGGTAAGAAAATGATCAAAAACAAAAGAATCGAATACACATGTCTATTCAAGCGCGGGTGTTGGTCGCACGGGAACTTACATCGCAGTTGATACAATTGTTCGTATGCTTGACGATCAGTCAAATGATTTGCAAACCATGGAGCTGGATGTCATGAGTATTGTTTATCATTTACGAAAAGATCGAATGAAAATGGTTCAAACATATGTAAGAAAATTATCTTTTTTTTTCGTGCTGGAATCAATTGAAAATGATTTGCTCTTCTATAGGCTCAATATGTGTTAGTTAATCATTGTGTAGGAGAATACCTAAGGCGAACTAATCAACTAGGTCTTGGTAGGAAAAAATTGAATTTGAATCGAATCTTATCTGCTCATTCTAGTTGCCAGACAATTCTCAGGTGACGATGATCCCTACATCAATAGTTTGGTATTACCCAAACAAGGCACAGTGCGATCTCATTATTCGAATATGTCTGAAAGAAAATATTCCACTCAGCGATCGGTATCAACTATTGGCACTCAACGGTCTCGGCGTCAATCGAATTTATCAGGGCATGAAGATCGTTATATTCGTAGGAATCACGAGGATGACCATCTACCACCAATACCTCCACGACGAAGCGTCAGTGTACAAAATTCGTCGGATTATTGATTGAAAAAGTTTCATTTTGTTTTTGTTTTCGGTTGAGATGAATGACATGTACATCGTTGATCGAGAGGAATACTTTTCAGCACTGAATCTTTGTGCATTCCACAACCTATTCGAATCAATGAGATAATCAACGTCAAGTTTTTGCTTTTTTCTCACCAGCCCATGTGAATTTATGGCAATTTTTACATTGAATTTTAAAGCACATTTTTCTTTATTGCAAAACAAAAAAAAATCACGACGCGCTCTTTCAGTTTTCATTGTCAATTTGTTCAAATTCGGCAAATATGGCATTATGATCAGTTGCAGGTTGTGTATTGATTATCGAACACTTGGCTAGTCTCCATGGATCATTCTCACGTGGACGTAGATAAATGTAGTCAATACGTGTTCCATATGCACACGTTACAACATCTTCATCTTTTAACTTCGGATTAGCGAATCGAAATGCATCTTGATAACCCCAGCTTTGTGTGATTAATTTCGTCAGATCGAACCTGGGTTTTTCCCATTGCGATTCTTCACGTTTTCCAGCGACGATTCTTCGATAATAGCTTTCTGTATAATCGTCCTCGGTCAGAGCATTCATATCACCGATGAGTATGTCAACATCAGGTCGAAAATATTTCATTTGCGCTAATCTTGCATCTTCGTTCACATGATCTAAGTGTGTGACCGCGAATGAACGATTTTGAACAAATGGGTGATCACCGTCTAATTGGCACTGAAGTAATGCTCTTTTACCACCGGGAGATAGAAAGTTAGTTGGTCGAACTATTGGAGATTTGATTGGAAGGCGTGACGCAAAACCGTTTCCATGATAATCTTCATAAGTGGCATTGAATATCTGATGATTCAATGAAAGTTGCGTGCAAAAGTTAGTCCAATCATTACCGTTATGAACTTCTTCTACTGCGAGAAGATCAAGATTCAACGGTTTTAGGATGGACACTAATTCCTTAACATTATTTTGATTCCTTAATCCACCTCGGAATCCATGAACATTAATTGTCGCTATACGAAACGTTCTTCCTAAATGAGAAGCCATTTCTAGTCTGCTCTATGCTTACCTTCTTCTTTTCTTATTCTAGTTGTGAATCATGATGATGCAATAACTAACACATTCGTCATATTTAGAAACCAATAGGAATTATGCGTCGCACTCATCTACCTTTATTAAAAACGAAAACAAAATCCTACGATTGCTCTCGTGTAAACTCTGCAAAGACAATGTTATGATCTGTTGCTTCTCCGCTATCAACAATTGAACATTTCGTTAATTTCCACGGATCATTCTCACGTGGACGCAGATAAATGTAGTCAATACGTGTTCCGTATGCACAAGTTGCTACACTTTCATCTTTTAGCTCAGAATTAGCAAGTCGAAATGCATCTTGATAACCCCATTGTCTCGTAATTAGATCAGTCAAATCGAATCTCGGCTTTTCCCATTGCGATTCTTCACGTTTTCCAGCGACGATTCTTCGATAATAGCTTTCTGTATAATCGTCCTCGGTCAGAGCATTCATATCACCCATAAGAATATCGATATTGGGTTGAAAGTAATTTATTTGTGCTAATCGGTTATCTTCATTTACATGATCTAAGTGTGTGACCGCAAATGAACGATTTTGAACAAATGAATGATCACCAGCAAGTTGACATTGAAGAAATGCTCGAGCTTCACCTGATGCCTTATATACATGATTTGAATAAGAAAGAATTGGATAACGTGAGGCAATTCCATTGGAAAGAAACCATTCATCGCATTTTCCTGTGATAAAATTATTTAAATCAAGCTGCTCACAGAGCTTTTTCCAATAATCATCGTTGTTGATTTCTTCAACTGCAAGAAGATCTAATTGAAGTGGTTTAAGAACTGAAACTAAACTACTAATATTTTTTGTGTAACCGTTTGGAGGGCGAAACTGTGGATATTCACTGTTGCGATACGAAATGTTGTCATTCTAGGAAGTGAAATGAAACTATTTCATAAGAAATTCGTCGGCACAGTTTGTTCTTTTTCTATTTGTTCGCACTACATAGCCAATGAGAGCGAAAAGTAAGTCAATACTAGATTTACTTCTCCGCATACCTTTACCATAGAATAATTCAACGTAAGATTTTGACAAAGTCTTGGTCAAATATTCATCATTGCTAATTTTCTTTCACTTGCAATAAAAGCATGTCCATAAAGAGAAAATGATGTACCGATCCTACATTTCAGTATTTATCAACGAATAATACTACAATAGAGATTCGTTTCTCTCTCTCTCTCTTTCTTTATCTATTCCTTCCCTCGACCGATCCCAAATAACGAATTAACAGTAGCTATCATTTACTTCGGCTCTGTTCGAAATAGAAATGCACATGTTCATCATTATTTTCTCTTTCTTTCCTTTTCATTCTCTTTCTATTCAACATGCGTGTTAATTACAATATTTATTGTTGTTCTATAGATAATGACTCAATTTGAATTCTTAGCAAATGAATTATTAGTCAATATATTCGAATATTTCGATACAATTCAATTATTCAAAATATTCTCTGGTCTTAATTCTCGTATTAATTCATTACTTTATGAACATTTCTCGAATTATCATGTTGATTTAAGATTTATTTCTAAACTGGATTTTTCGATATTCTCTTACGAACATCTGCATCAAATTTACAGTCGGGTGATTTCATTTCGAATGGGTGATCAATGCGAAACACCACATCTTCCATTTTTCTTCATTTCTCTTGACTATTCATTACAGAAATTCACTCATTTACAATTTCTTTCACTACACGACATCCAATCACCCATTGCAATTCATTTGCTCCAGAATCTTTCGCAACTAAATGAACTTCTTTCTCTTACAATTACAAACTGTGATATTTCAATCGATGAACAAAACGAAATCCATTTCTTCAATCAAGTTTGGCAATTACCAAAATTAAACCGTCTTCATCTGAATACCGGTTGTTTAAAGTACGCAACTCCGTTTCAATTACATTGCATTTCATCGACGCTCAAACACATTTCCATCGAATCATCTCATTCCATTCGATACTCTATCTTTGTCGATATTCTTCGCCATTCACCAAGTCTTCAATCGATTTCCATGTCAATTGAATCGACAAACAACGAATATGAAATTTTCACCAATGATTTACCGATGATAATTTCGTTGAAACTAACGTTTCTTGGTCACGTTCGTGTTTTGAAAAATCTTCTCCAACACACACCGAATCTTCGACGATTAAAAATTCGACTCATAAACACCTATCTCACCGGATATGAATGGAAAGAGATCGTCGTTAATTATTTATTACATATCAAGATCTTCAATTTTCAAATGTTCATGTCTTATTTACGAAATCGAAACTCGGCAATTCTACTCGACGAACTTATCAACACATTTCGAACGTCATTTTGGCTTGACGAACATCAATGGTACATTTGTATCGATAAATATCCAAATGATTTCGTCATACTTTACACGTTGCCAAACTATTTTCCTGAATTTACTTCGATGATTGTTCTGCAACAAAAAACCACCTGTCCGGAATTTAAAAAGAACTGGTTATTCGACCGTGTCAAACGTTTATATTGCAGTTCTCATAACGATAAACATCCATATGAAATCTCGACATTTTTTAACAAATTCGAAGATTTAAATATCGATTTACCTTTATCAACTCGAACGTGGAACAGTGTATTAACATTCAAGCATTTAATTTCCTTGACTATACATAATAGTGACGGAAAATGTGGATCAATCGATCTTCAATTGATACTTAACCATGCTCCACGATTGTATGCTTTGACTGTACACGAATCATCGAGATTGAACTATAAAATTGTATTGAAATTAACAAGTTCAACGATTCGTCGGCTGAAATTTTTTAGTGAATATTTAAATCGAGATTATCTTAGTAAAGAAGATTGTTTAGCATTGAGTCAATCATCACTTGCACATCAATGTGAAGTTCTTACTCTGGCTATTGAAGATTTCCATTGTGTCTATTGTTTGGTCAACGCAATGAGCAATCTTCGTGTATTAAACATGAAAATTAGCTGCAAAGAAGCAAATTTAGATGATCAGTTGAAATATTTTAGTAGAAAATATCCCAATCTATGGATTTATTTAGATGATAGATAATAATAAATTATAGTTCGTGTGTTTTACTTATTTTGTAAAATAAATAGAGAATAAAGTTGAAGATTCGATAGTAGAACAATCTCATCAGTAATTTATATTCTTAATGGTATCGAATAGAATCAGATATTTGAAAAGAATCTCTTTTTTACGACTAAACATTAATTATTTTGCAAATAAATGGGACCAATATCAATGGCGAAGTCAGCAGATCTCGTTAGAATCATTCGGTCATATGTACTAACAACAGAGAAAGAAAGTTCAAACAAATACATTGCTTTGTTTTTTGAGTATATCCGTGTCGACGATGCCCGATGGATAGTAGTTGTATTGAACATTATTTCGCATCCTCGAATAGACTATCTTCAACCTCTTTCTTTCTTTCTATGTTTTGTAGAGTTATATTCGTATGAACGAAGTACCATGAATGTCTTTTTTATCATAACAATTCTCAAAAGAGCAAGCATTACAGATTAATTTATGTTTTGAAAAGCTCGTCGGATACTTTTCTTTACATCTATCACATAAGGATGTGTTGACGAAAGAGATTGTCGATAGATAATCAATGCTTTTTCATAATAATTCAAGGCTTGTTTAAGATCAGTTTGATCTTCGTACACCAATCCAATATTCCTATGTGCACCTTCAAGATGATTATAATCAATAGGGAAACGTTTTTCCCAAATACTCAATACTTTTTTGTATACAAATTCGAAGCTTGAGAATACTTTTCTTGTTTATCGTAAATAACTCCAATGTTATTCAAACACATGGCAATCGNAAAAAATTGAAATAAACGAAAGTTGATATGGCTTCGAATAGGAGATACACTGCATATGCACGCTGGTGAAATACTCGAGAACTATATACGATCATATTTCCGAAACATCCTATATTTCCTGCGACCCAATAGAACGAACCGATGTAAATATTTAGTTGATAAGGAACTGATAGCAATACATCAACGGAGGTAGAACTCATACTTTCACGAAGTAAAACGAAGATATAATCGATTTCTCAAGAAAAGAAGGACAGATTTCGCTTGAACGCAGATGCAGTTCTCTGATAATAACTGACAACGAAGCATAAAAAATTAATATGTTAGAAAAAGATTTTCCTTTGAAAATGGGTTTTCTTCTCAAAATACTTCATTGAGTGAAGATTTCACCTATGAAAGTCCTTGTTTCCGTATCATCGATTCTGTGCGTGATATATGAGAATATCACGTGAAAATAATGATAAACAAATATCATAAACCAGAGCACAGAAACTACAGATCGTTAAATATTAGTTGTCTGATCTCCCGATAGTTCTTGATAATAAAAAAAAGAAACTGAATAGCTGACATTATTTGATTTTCTTGTATGCGGATTTACACGATCCTACGGTGCTTCATGAATGGATACATTCTATCCGCTTATATGATAAATTTTGTTAGAAAAGAGCTCTTCACTCAAGAAAAAAGTTTTTTTTTTCAAGTTATGCTGAGCGCAGATACATTTCTATCCTTTTCTCAATTGAGTCTAGACGAATCTCGAGGGTGTGAAACTAAGTATTAAAAACATATATACCTAATGATGGTAATGGTTGAGTAAAAATACCGAATGGTTCGTTACAGTCTGATTTGATTTCTCTGAATTTTACTTGTAAGACATTCAAATCAGGATCATTATAGAAGTATTTTCTTCGCAAACTACTTGAATCTGTTCCATTACTTGACTTCGCTGAGTAATGAGCAAGCTGAACACGACAGTTTTGTGCAGTGCTTTGAATCCTTTTGATAGATTGTCGTTCCTATAGATCAATTTGACTGAGTAAAGAAGAATTCGGTTTCTATCTAACAATTGTGCTCGATAGAGATGGTATGGTCTTGACTGTGCAGCATGCAGATCATCGAATCTTATTACTTTTCAATGATGAAGATGCGTATAGAAATGAATGTCCATTGTATCGTGATGAAGAAAGATTAGTTTTTCACACGTGAAAGGAAATAAATGTTTTCTTTTGTCCCATTAAAATGAGATTTTCATTATTATGCTAAATAGATGTCAGTAAATATTGTGTGTTTGCCCATATTGCAATTTGTGAACGTTCTATATCCAATCTGATTTACTCACTTTCTGTATTATATATCGTAATCTTTTTTGCTTGCCAAAACATTTTTTTATAAATTTATCTCACCTATGCACATAAAATTGTGTCTGTTTTAGATGCAGCACTGTATCAATCCTAGTGGCTCGTGCAATGTGCTCGATATTGGCATCTGAACCCCCTTCCTCCTGCAAACAACAAAAAGAAATACAGGGTGCTTCAACTGCTCCTTTCTTTCATCTGTTCGCACAATTGTATGATTCGTCCGCTTCCTCGATTAGCAACGATGACCGAATGATTTTGGACATCAAAAGTAACATCAATCGGATTGTTTATTCGGTCCTACTCACCCGCTACAACGTCACCTTCCTGGGCATTGCACTTCCGTCGAACAACATGATGATTCGATTTATCAACCACATTAATATTGTCCTTCTCGTCGATGAACATTTTTTCAGGATAATCGAGTTTTGTCGCCGATCGACCATCATCTGCTACAATTATTCCATTTGCTGTGTTCGGATTCTGAAAATAAGCTGATGAGTAACTATAAATACTTCTGCTTGATACAATTTTTATTGCGTTGATCGGTTTCTATGTGTTCAGTTGGAGGAAAATTTTTTATTCATTGTCGGACATTTTTCGAAGTTTTATTTCCAAATGATTTAAACTGATTTCATTGAAATCCTTATAACTTTCAATAGCTCTCAACAGTTGGGTTAAATTTAACGAATTATGTAAGTTCATCTGAATGGCGCCAATTAAGTGTATCAAAGATCATACTGATCATCGACTTTTCTGTGGCCGAGTCTATGCTATTGGTGCTCGTATAGCGATGTTAATTGGAACGGTAAATTTCTTCAGAGTGAAGATGAAAAAAAAGCGAAGAAATCCGACATGATTGAACACTTCAAATCTCTTCAACTGGTTCGCATCTCATGAAGAAGAAGTCGCAACGAACTATGATGGTGCTGTTCTATTAGAAACGATGGGTATCAATTCGAAGAAGTATGCACATTCTCCCGAGTGGAAATTATTGGGCAATGACAAGATTTGTTGCTGGATCTAAACATATTAAATGTGGAGTGATTGTCATAACTTTTGCGGATTATTGCGCTTATCTTCCAAAATTTTACTTCGATGCAAAACGAAATTACTTTTATTTCATGATTGAACAAGTGAAGGATCAAGAAGCATTGGAACAACGATGTCTAAACGATATCGAAGGTGTGCTCAGAAAAACAAGTTCACATACTAGTTACAGGTGGGGCATCGTAGTGGATTGTTACCAGATGTCGTTGTTGCGCTATTAGATCCAGAAAATAGTGACAACTAGATTACTTTTTTGCATGAATCTGATAAAGAATGATGTAATAAAAGTGACGTTGAGTCATTACTTTGTCATAAAATCTGATAAGAACACCTTGCAAAAGTATATATTATTCGATACAACTTTTTTTTCTATATTATATTGTCAAAGAATGCTTCTTATTTCTATTTTGGCTTTATTTTCTTTCATACAAGTTCATGCTGAGCCGCCTTTTGCCTGTGATTTCGAAGATGGAACAATGTGTGAAATGGAAAATGGCCTTTGGTTCGATCCGCAGCGTCCAGTACACAATTTTAGCCTCACCAGCGGAGAATTAGTACCGGACAAAGAAATAGCGCCCTCTAAAGATCACACATACAATACCAGCTCAGGCCATTTTGCTTATTGGCATCAACCGTTCGATTCTCCACATACGAACATGGACGGATGCTTAAGCACGCCGATATTTGAGTTGACTGAACACATGTGTTTGACCTTCGCTTATTATATCAAGTCAGTTAAGGTTGATCGGAATGGAACAGTACTGAGTATTTATATCAAAGGCTGTGGCTTTCGTCCATTGTGGGCCGTGAGAACGGACGACACACTGGGTTGGCAAACTGATGAAATACCACTGGTTGGCTATAAATGCAATGTTACAATTTGGTTTAATATCATGGCAAATCTAAAAAATAGTGTTTCTGTTGCACTGGATGACATTTCTGTCGATATTTGTGCCAGATATAGAACAACAACCACTCCTCAGCCTACACCGAGTCGCTCGATACGATTCACAGACAACATTTCGCTATTAGCGATTATGTTTCTCGTCAGTATGAACTACTTATTATAGGAGATTTGAAAATAGTGGATGATTACCGAATATGTTTTTTTGTGTATTATTTTAACAAAAAATATTTTTATTCAATTAAAGTATTACAATCGTTCGTAATTGCATGTCAATCAGCGATTGGTAGTAAGAAATGCGTGTAAAAATCGAACTTCCATTATAATGTGAGTGTAACGATGGATAACTAATGATTTCAATTATTGTCCATGAATTGTTCACATTTGGAATTATATGTCCGCCACTAACGTCATCACAACCGTCTGCTGCACCACGACCAGCACAGATTTTGATTGTGTTTGAAGAGCAGCTTGCTGTAATATACTCCCTTCTCTCCCAGAACCTGATATAGAGAGGCTTCTCTCCATTCAATTATCATACCTTCCTCGTGATTACTTGGTTTAGAATCATTTGTTGGTGGCGATAAACAAGCAAGACTCACATTTATTGTTCCGGTAAAATCCGATGATGACCTTAAAATAGCAATTTCATTATCAAGTACATCTAATTCACAATTAGGATGGTACCATGTAGCAGAAACTGAACGATTTTGCGCAGCTTTGAAGTCCGAAAGCATGTGTATACCGTCATAGACAGTTAAAGTGTTTCTGAACGTGTGATTGACACAAGGTGCTATGTTGTTAATAGGGCTGGTGCATGTGAAATCATCATTTCTGTAAATAGAAATGACCCATAGCCAACTATTTTGGTGGTGTAGCAGATCCATTCCTAATACGATCTAATGCTAAGCTGATACTAACAGATAAACAATCACAGGTAGGACATGAAGTACTCTCGTAGTCACAATGAAAACGACAACAACCGGTAACTATGAGCAAAATACATATAATTGATGTAGTTGCAGATTGACTGGATGCATCTGGTTCATTTATGGCACGTTTGAGCCTTGGAACGTATGTAAAACGTGGTGTAGGTGCTGAAGTTTTCATGATAATTATTGAACACCAGCGTCGAAAGAAGTGTCAATAGACAATTAGAAAACTCATGCTTCCTCGTTGACAACCGACGTGATATATTAAATTAAAAAACATTGAAGTTCTTTACTCGAGCCCTGTAAGCTAAATATTTGCGATTTCACATGTTGCATATATGATAATATTAACTGGATGTAAGAACGTGCATTTTCTAGAAAGTATTTCGGATTGAGGGAAAACGGTCAAACAAATGGATAAACGATTCATAATGCTTGCTAGTGGAGGTTTGATGGTCATTGCTTGTATATTCTATATCACTAGTAATGCATTACCATCCTGGTATGAAAATAGACTTCATTATTATTAATACAGTTTCAATGAATTTTTAATAGATCTGTGAAAACATTCAATGCCTCCATTCTTAGGTTTCTTGAACCAGAACATCTTTCCAAAGCACAGTTCGATTTAGCAGAATCAAGCATTGGTCTTTGGCGAGTCTGTTTAACAGTTTTCGGAGTTCACACGTGTTCCGACCATGTTTCATCATGCGAGTCAATCAAAGGAGAACACGCGAATGTATGTCACAAAATGCTGGCAGCCCGAGCATTCATGACCTTGGCTTGTATTTTTTCAGCGATTTCAGCTACATGTCTTTTTGCATGCCTATTAGAGTCGATCAATAAGAACACTAATGTAATTACGATGATTAAAATTATTCCCTTCGTATGCTTTATAATGGGTATCATCGGCCTAGCACTTGGGATTTCTTATACTACTGTCACAGGTCCAGAAATAATAAGCATGTCACTTGGTGCTGGAGCAATATTAGCCATCATAGCTGTAATCTTGAATTTAATTGGTGCTATCCTAGCACTTATAATTCGTTGAAGACAGTTTAAACATTGTAAATATAATACTATTGTATTTACTTAGGGCATACCAGAAGTAGTGGCGCCGACTCTGTCATTTTTTATAGAAGCGTTTCAGGATTTTTCTTCATATATATTCTAATAGTCCAAGTCGCGCTCTATCATTTTATGATATTTCAGAAGTCTTCATATGGTACTATAGAATGGAAAACTTAGCAAAACAGTGGTTAGTTCACAAAAAAATAGTTTTTTACCTAGTTTTTGATCGATTTCCCCCTTAATACTCAAGTTTTTTATGATAAAAATACGGTATTTGTAATCAGCGCAAAAAACTGAATCGATATATATATACTTCAAAATGCTTCGTCGACTTTCATTTTGCCAGAAAATCTCGATGCACCCTACCCGGAAGACCACAGCTAATTTTTCGATGAAAATGAAAGTCGACGAAGCATTTTGAAGTATATATATATCGATTCAGTTTTTTTGCGCTGATTACAAATATCGTATTTTTATCATAAGAAACTTGAGTATTAAGGGGGAAACCGATCAAAAACTAGGTAAAAAGCTATTTTTTTGTGAACTAACCACTGTTTTGCTAAGTTTTCCATTCTATAGTACCATATGAAGACTTCTGAAATATCATAAAATGATAGAGCGCGACTTGGGCTATTAGAATATATATGAAGAAAAATCCTGAAACGCTTCTATAAAAAATGACAGAGTCGGCGCCACTACTTCTGGTATGCCCTAAGTATATTCAAATAAAAATGAAGTCCATATCATTGAACCAAGTTTACGTACGATCCATGAACTCCTTTCCTGGCATTGATGTGAAGATTAGTTTAGATAAACTATTCTCATCAATTGATGCGTGAATGAGTCAAACAAACACTGATATGAATGCTACGTTAACACATGTCTATATCAATCAAGACGAGAATCCAATAAAGGCAGTCTAAATGCTTTCCCAGTCCAGGGATATCATTTTATTCATAACTGTGACTGTTGTAAACGATTGTTTAGAGGCTAAGAAGGTGCAGCAATTTATGAGTTAGGATAAGAGTGATTGACTGCGAGACGGTCGCCATTATCAATCGAAAACTTCAGAAAGTGTAATGATGCCCACTATCGTCGACAATAACTTTATGGCAGAACAAACACAGAACAAGACCGTTTTATCAGTGAGAAACAACATCGAACAACATGCCATTTTATATCATAATCCATCTAAACATCCGCTTTTGTTCAATATACATTACAAAATGCAGCCAAACATAAGTCAAAGATGAACACTGAATCAAAGTTTAGTTACCTATTCTACTCGTTAATGACTACAAAAACAAGTGTCACCCCGTACCTGTTATCTCAAACAATTGCAGATCAAAGTACAGCACAAAAAATTCAAACAGTTAACCAATACGTATTCCTCGAGAGCCTCCATCCTTCAGTATCCTAAGACCAACACATTTATTCGTTCCGGCAGATCCATAATCAACAATCCAACTCTCCGTTTTTCTCAAGATATCAATCGAAGAGAAAACCACGGATTTCAACTGCAACTCCTCTCAACATACACTAGCCCCTACCCAACAATTACTAGAAAATCTTAGAGCGCGTTAGACTGCTATTCCATCACAACCACAAAACGGTCTCAGTAAAATATCTCAACTGCACAGCCATTCAGCTATCATGCGATCCCCCGTCCCCATTTTAGTATTGATCCCAGCCACATTCTAGCGCTTTGATAAGCACATATATTCTTAAGCTCCACACAACACACTTCACTTAATACCAGTAAGTACCCAAACCTCAATATTACCCTGAAGTCCTAGACAACGACGGCGCCACTGGCATCAACATCCAAGATCAAATCATACCAAAATTCAAATACCACTCCTGCCGCTTGAACTCAAAAACTTTTTTTACTTAGATTCTTACTCAATTGGAGTCCTGTTTCAGGCATAAGTCAGCGCCAAACCAGAGATAATTAAAAGCCGAACGATTCTACACTCATCTAGCCATGCTGGATGGGCTGCAATCAAAAAAAAAATTCTATCGGTAGTGCCTGTAGTGGAAAAAGTGGATTTACTGATATTTTAATTGAATTCTGAAGGTGTTTCGAGTACAACTCAAGAAGAAAGTGCAGATAAAATAAAAGCGCGAGATTGTAGACTGATCTATCCATGCTGGACGGACTGCAAGCAAAGGAAAAGTTCTATCGCTAGTGCTTACGGTGGAGAAAGCGGATTTACTGATATTTTCATTGAATTCGGGAGGTGTTCGGAGCATAAGTCGAGAAGAAAGTGCAGATAAAATAAAAGCAAGAGATTCTAGACTGATCTGACCATGCTGGATGGACTACAAGCAAAGGAAAAGTTCCATCGCTAATATTTACCGTGGAGAAAGAGGATTTACTGATATTTTCATTGAATTCGGGAGGTGTTCGGAGCATAAGTCAAAAAGAAAGTGCAGATAAAATAAAAGCGTGAGATTGTAGACTGATCTAACCATGCTCTATCGCCTGAAATCAAAAGAATGGTTCTATCGCTACTGCCGACTCCGAAAAAAGGTCGATTTACCTATATTTCCAATCGGCTAAGGTCGTGTTGCAAGCTGAAGTCCGTACGAAAGCGGCGATATTGAAAAGCGGCCTAGCATGGTATAGAAAGAAGTGAAGGAATCTATTTGCTGATGGTGCATAGTTTACAGCATGGATGTTGCCTGGGCGGAGGTTGTTTTGAAAGCTGTCTAGAGTTTGGGGCGTGTTTTTGTGTGTTTCGTGCTCGTTTGTAATTCAGTATTGAGCGATGGAACATATCGGTATAATTCGGGCGTATTGCCTTTTCTGGTTATCGTGTACAAGTGGCGTTTGATATTTGATGGCGTATGGGAAAGATAACAACTAGAATACAGGGGCGAATGAGAGTATTCTAAGTAATAAGCATGTAACTGTATGTGCTAGTTAGGCATTGAATGATTATGGAAGCGTCTTGATAATGCTGGTACTTTGATTACCTACGTTATCTATAGGTTCAAATGGAGCCATATTTTAGATTTACGCATAAGGGAACTAGACTGTGGTTGAATCAGTATGTCCCTCTCTGGGCGGACTTTATGTAGAAGAAAGCATTGAGAAGAACCTGGTTTGGAAGATAGGCCGAACGAATGCTAAGAGATAAGTGATGGCCGAATTGAAGATGGAAGGTTGGTGCGTTGTTTCGAGTACTGTGCACCAACGAAAGGATAGGGTTTTGATGGAATAAGAAAGGCAACAAGAAAAGCTTGGAGATCGCAAAGTGATGGTTTGGTTTGGATAAGTGACGGCTTCATAGAAGTAGGAAAGAAGAAAGTAATAGTGAGTTCTAATCGTGTTGTTCTCTAATACCCGTTCGCAAATACATTACCAATGTTGAAATAGCATCAGTACACGTGTATTAAAAGTATCATTAACAGGAACGATAACATATAGGTATCCAAAAAGAGGAAATAGAGTAAAGTGAAACGATTGCCTCTTTCAGTTCGTTCAAGTGCTCAAGAAATTCAGCAATTTTGACATCGACTCGTCGATAATCCTGTATTAATGAATAGCATACATTACTAAATATATGAAAATAAATGATACGTCAAGAACTTATCTTTGAAACGTCAATATATGTTTATTGTTGTAAGATCGCGTTGTAAATCTGACAGGTGTTGTACCAGGAGATCGCGATGAACTTTCAATCAGACAGCGTCTTGTTCTACTTCATTCACGGGTGATAGCGACATCAGGTCAAATCCGTCTAAAAGCATAGCTGTATCAATATCGCAGCAAGGATCAATTAATGATGCACGATTATGTGATCAGTGCAATTATGTTTTTGAAAGATCGAATGGCTGACTCAAAACAATACAGTGATAGAAAAGCGAAGCTACCATGGTCTAATTAGATCGAAAAAGTCAAAGCATTTACAAAGCCTGTTTAAGTGCGAACATCATGCACAAGGAAATACCTGACATTATGGGAGAGAAAATTGTACCTTATTTAGTACTTGTTTTGATAAATGCAAATGAGTATGTTAAGAATAGAATTCTATTGTCGGATCATGTACTTTTGATGATGTGTGACAATAGCAATGAATTAATTTATCAACCACTTTTATTTCTTCTGCAAGGTTTCGACAGTTGAAAATGTGGCGAATAGAATTTAGGCAAATATTGTAGAAGTAGCCGTAAACCTTAACTCAGGATAAATAATCTGTGATCTTGTTCTTTCCAATTGTTGACTGATTGCATTGAGCAATTCTACCTGACATTCGCATCATGTGGCAAACGTAGGTGGTGGAGTGATCCCCCTCTAGGATAGGCTGAATCTGCAAATAAATCTTTAAAACTCGATAATATATTAAGAAAAGAATACTCGAAGAAAGTCTGAGCTTTCTCTCTAATAGAGTGAAAGAAAGATAAAATCTTACTTTGTTGAGCAGGTTTTGCTCATGAACACAATAATGATACTCAAATAGCGGGAACTGAAAGCTTTTTCAGTGACTACTAGTCGTCATCGGAACCTTCAATTGTAAACGTGCCAGATGCATATTCGTTTTAGCTACTGTAAGCCAGACAGTAACGGATTTGAATTTTTTTAAAATTATAGCTAGCTTCTAAATCTGAGATTTCTTTGAACAGACATCTGAAATTCTGCTTCAGTCTTTTTCCATAGCGACTATACTATACAACGCATATTAGCGAAGATAAACTAATATACAATGAGTAGGAAAAGCGCGCGCTCAAACGTGTAAGTTCGATAATTATTGTCAATGATATTGTCACCATTTATATGAAGTAGATTCGTCGAATGTTCTTCCCAACGGGGAAACTTGCCAAAGCGAAAAAGTACTTCTGAATTATAGTAGTAGCGAGTTTTAATTCATCCCGTAAGATTTGTTAAATCTAACTGCTTCACGAGAGAACTCCATTCGCCCTGAAAGAGAATGCTTGGACGCATACTTCTACACGAAAACATTCACTTTCTTCTGGCCTTCAAAGTCCGATTAGTGAAATGGTAGACTCTCAAATGTAAGTTCCGAAACTACTTTCCATACTAGAGTAGCGGAAATGAAGAGCATGATAATAGTGCCACCACCACACTCAGTTAGATCGAATCAAAATCTGAATGAGCACAGACGAATGCAGTGAAACATGTACGCATTGCTGTTTTAATTCTACGGTGTTTCTCAATGTGTAAGAACAATAAAATATGAGCGAATTTTTCTTTCGAATTGCACCTGCTCACGCCTCATGGCTCCGTCGTGTCTAGTGGTAAACGAATAGTTGGTAAAACCGAATCAATTTTAACGATGTCATTTTCCGATAAAAGGACAATAAAATGTTCAATTTAAATAATGAGGATAAACCTTCGATACTAATAATGGATGACCAGTGATTGCCATCACTTCCTATCTTGCCTTCGATCGCTTATGGTGTCATTCAAAGCTGTTGATGTGCTGTCAACTCATAGTTATTAGCTGCGTAAGGATGACTAATTTGTTTGTCGACGTGCGTCTCTATAATTCAGCAGACTATAACAAGTAGCTCAGAAAAGGAAAATAAGTGCAGTCGATACCATCTGTCATACAGTTTCTGCATGCACAATAACCATAGAAGTGAATTGTTTCCATAACAAGAAATTTCACTGGTAAGTCTGCTACGAACATCTGCGTTTTAACATAGATCTTCAACTCACAAGCATTGACGAATATGGACTTATCATTTCAAGATAGACCTGTTAATTGTTGAATAACATCTTCTCCAAAAAGATTACCATGCGGTTGAATACACCACAGCCATAACCCCAATGCCAACATATTAGATTGGTATTCCTGCGCCGGTGGCAGCAAGAACGACCAAAGGCTGCACCATCACTATGTACGTATATGCAATGTAATTGTATGAAGAATGTTTTTTTCGTGCTGTTGATTCATAACGTATTCCATTTGAAATATCGACTTTTAGAGGGAAAATTCTTCGTGATCAGATAACTGAGGAAAATGTGGCCGAATAATTGATTGTCTTTTCTTGTCGTATGTTCATCTTAACTGTTTCTGTCAATTCTCTTTTGCATAATTGCATATTAGCTAATGTGCAAGTTGAGTTAGTGCAGTAAAGACAGCTATTCCTATTTGCTATCAATGTTAGACAACTGTTAAAATAAAACTTTGCAGTAAAGGATGGATTTCATTCAGTGCATCATTGTAACTATTTACCGCTTGTCGAAATTTGAAGTGATCTAAAGTATCATTAGGCTATTTCACAGCTATGACGAGTTTTCATAGTTGCTGTTGAACATAGTAGTGGCGTATCATCCTCCTTTATGATATCATTTGCATCGGACAAATCAAAAACTTCTAAAGCACTTTTCTTTTTTTCTTTTGATATTTGTTGATTATTATTGTTGATTCATCATCTAATCTAATAGCTGGTATTAAATCTGTATCGCTTGCAGTACTTCTATTAGCCGCTTCTTCATACCTAGACTTTTGCTTGCTTCTCTCTTGCCTTTCCCGTGCCACTTTCTTAGATTAGCCATTAGAGACGTGAGACACGTTCGAAGATATCGAATAGATGCAATGAATTTCTAATACAAATAGTATAAGCTATTTCCACGTTACGAAGAATACGGTTATAGAAGAATCCTGGCTGTTTCTCATGTGAACCAGCTGATTTCGATCAACTAACTCACCTAGGTGATATCCCTGTACTGCTTGCTTTCTCATCTAGAAAAGCTACGATGACAACGGATATTAATGAGATTAGAATGATTGTTTCCGCAGAATCGTGAAATATATTTGGATAGAGCGAAACGGCAGAGGAATGCTTCTTATTTTTCTTTGATTGTTACATCGGACAAATAATTGGGCTATCCGTGACAATTTAGGAACGGCTACGTGTCAAACTAGCAGTTGTATCACATCTCAAAATCGTTGGAATCATACTTGGTGCTCTTAAATGTTTACAGTGATCTCGGCTGTTGTTACTTTCACCGACAGTTTCTTCAGTAAATGACAATGTGGCGAAGTACTAATATATCTCCATCATTTAATCCTATTATGCTTGATTATCGTATAATTTCTTTTGAAATTATGCCATGGATAGGTGATTACGATGCACATACCGACGCTGCCCAAATATGATTAAGACTGTTCCATTGTAATATCCACCGATCGGCACTTGTTCGTTTAAAGTTCTATAGTTGCAACGACTCAAGTTGGAGACGCTGACGATTTTTTTCAGATGAGATTCTCTCATCTGCTGTCTAATGTGAAGTTGAAAAGCGAGACTAGGAAAGCGGCAACAGAAATGCGGGAATATCTGATGACTTGTCGTTACACTTCCGTATTACAAATGAGGAATAGTTAGGAATACATCATCAGTTGTAGCATGGCTGCACTATACCTGATATCACACAAGCATATCTAATCGGAATATAGATCCTAACATTTGCTTTTCGAATCCCTACATGAATTCGAGCTCAAGAGCGTGATATCTAGTTGTCGATAACTGGAAATCACGTCTTTTAACACGTTCTGTGCGGCTGCATTTCTAATTAAGAAAAATCCGAGAGAAAAATTACCCGACAGTGACATGTTATGCATCCCTTCAATACGACGAAGAAAGAAATATCTATTTTTTCTCGCTCTTCATTGTGATAACAGCAGCTCAGTGTGCTTAATTTGATCGGAAGAGACATTTTACCTATACAAACTGATAAGCGATATTAATTTGTCATAGTCGGAACTTTCTTCGGAAGTTTTTTTTCTCTCGATAAACTGATCGTGTCTCATCAATCATGAATAAGAAATGACAAATCAATCGCCTTGCTTTCTTCAAGGTTTTTCTCTTGTGAAGCAAAGAGAAATCATGCACTTGACTCACTAAATCACTCGGTGAATTGAATGAATATATAAAATCACGTTTTCATTCGATTTTCATTGCAAATCAAAAGATGTATTCTCCACCACCACCACCACCACTCACTGGCCGGTAACTGAAAGTAATCGACATTATCTTGGATTCATCCGTTTTCTCCTCTAGAACCGTCTTAAAAGCGAATGCACCAATTCTGGCGTTATGCGCTCTATTTTTTGTGTTTTTCCTCATCGCAGGAACAGTTGTTCTTGCATTAATTCCGGTTTATCTCTCAACGAAAGATGTTCCTGAAGGTAAGATGAAGAACAAGCTCAACATACGAAATTACAGCGTTGTTTGATTACAGTTGGACGTTCGTCTACATATTACGCAACGATGACTCCAGATGTATCATTACCTGAAGGCACGTTGGATGCGCAATCCTTGAAAAATATCAATACTGAAGTATAAGCGACTTTTAACATGACAAATCCATTTTATTTTTATTTGCGTAGCTCGATAAAGCTTTGAAGGTACAAAGTGGAGCAGTTAACATGATCAGTGGTGTCGTTTCAGGAGGAGATAAAAAACGTAAACGACGAGGATTGTAAGTTTGGATGAAATAGAGAGTGAAGCCGATTTCACAAATGGCTTTTTTTTATTGCAGGCTTCTTGACAGAAACCGTCGCGGTGCAGTTCGAGTATATTGTTCGTTCTATTTCAATATCAAAATCTGCCCCAGATGTGGCACTAGAGGATTTCGTCAAACAATCACAAAATTCACTTTTAATGTTCAACTATGGATTATTGATTGGTTTGGAATTATCAGAGGCCCTTTCTATGCTACATTTACCGTTGTCATTAGTTACACACGTAAGTTGAACATTTCGTATGATACCCAGAAGGACAAGCTTCTTCTGCTCTTCTAGAAATCGCTATTCCATCAACTTCCACTTTTCCAATGACAACTGTTCGACCCACGGGAGTGTTTTTTGGTTAATGAAATCTTATTTACAATAACTTTTAAACATCGAAAACACGTGATTATTTACTATCGCTCAATTTATCTTTAAACGACTTAGAAAACAGTACATTTCATTGATAATGATTCGTGACGTAGATACTGATTTTAGATAGACAGCACCGGCTAATCTTTCTCTAGAAAATCAAGTCTCTGTTCATATTAGTACCCGCAGCTACCTTTTATTAAGGAAGATCAAGGAAAAACTATTTCGTAAAATTTCTATTGTTCTTTCTTTTCGTTCTTGGTCGGTTCCATCTCTTGCACTTGTTTGTATTGAACGATTGGCATGAACCATGCGATAAGAATCAAGACGAGCAGGATCGATTGATAAGAATTCAACTCGAGAACACGTCCCCTCGAACTGATTTCAGCTAACTTCTTTTCTAATGGTATGGCGCGTGCGAGATTAATATATAATCTAGAGAATAACTGAATAAACTGTAGAAGACAGATCAAATGGTGCATGATTGGATTTTTCTTGTAAAGATTTGCAGCACATCAGTGACTGCCTTTAGAATGACTGGTGGGAGAGTGACGAGAGTGAATATTAAATACTTCTTGAAGAGTTCGAGATGGTTTTATCTGGGCGGAAAGCTGGGGCTTTGTTATGGATGACATGGGAGAAGTCAAAGTCTCAATGAAAAAACAATCAAATATAGCGATGTTTTGCGATTCATGGAAATCATGCATATATTTTTATGTTTACCTGAATATTGGAACACGTGTAATGAGTCGTAAGGCGACGAACGAACGTTCTACCTATTCTGCGGGCGACCGTGTGGCGGGTGCAAGCGAAACAGTAAAACTTTTTCTCGTCGTATGAATATACATATTCATGTAGGAAGTTGAAAAAGATTAATAAAATAATAATAAATATCTAACTAAGCACCAAATTGGTCGATCATCTGCATTGAAATCTTCGATCGATTTCTCATAGTACGGATCATGTACATGCGAAAGTAAGGTTACAGCGATGACAAGTGGAATAAACCGTTCTCCCATTTGTTTGCGTTTCATATTATCGTAATCTGGCCATGAGATGCCTAATTCGACTTATATTATAAGTCGACCCCCTACAGGCTAGTATCAATTCGAATATAAATAGATATCTGTATAACACTTATAACAAATGACTAGATAGGAAGAGAAATAGAAACAGATTTAGTTTTACTTATACATACCCCCACATCCCTGTGAGGTAAGGAATAGAAACAGATTTAGTTTTACTTATGTTCATGTATACACCCACACCCTCACTTATATCTATCTCCATTGAGGGTGCCGCCGTAGGTGTACACGCGGATATATCTCGATTGAGGGTGCTGCGGTGGATGTTGGTGATGGTATGTATGTATAAGTAAAACTAAATCTATTTCTATTCCTATGGGTGCTAGGAATTGGTCACTTATATTATAAGTCGAATTAGGCAGCTACTCCGCAGAACACATTTTCTTCGATAATCGAATTGCTTCATGTATATCAATCAAGTATTTCAAATATCGTCATTGAAATCTTGTAAAGTATCTTTTGGAAAGAGTTTTTCCAAGAAAATATTACCACTGGCAACTACTGTATTCAGTTCGATCGAACATCTGACTACCGATCACGAGATACACTTCCGCCAGTTAAAGGCATTTTCTCTTATGTACCTCAACTCCCTCGTTCATAGTTTCATTTCTCATACCAATGTGGGACGACTGCATATGCTTTATCTTTATCGATGTCTAGGTATCTCACACATCTCTCTCTCAACCCAGAGAATTGTATAATATTCAATGATATCGAATATCTTTTAGCCAACTATCTTCCAGGTTTACAGGAACTTCTAATTTCCACAGATGTAGCACTCGTTTTTACGCCGTCTATTCAAAACGATACTCGTTTGTTTATCAATCCATTTTGAACTCACAAACAATGGTTTTTCGAGATTGGCTAATATTTCAAACAATTTTATAGTTAAGCAGTTGCCTATACATCAAGTCCATACAAAGTAAGTTCTGATGAAAAATTTTCACTTCAATCAAAAACCGAGCTCGCGAATTTTTTCAACAAAAACTTACGATCTCTGTTCGAAGTGAAATAATGTGAATACCACGGTTCTACACAGTCAGTTCAACATATTCAGACTAGAGATGAAATAGTCATGAATCGATGTAT